TCAATTTTTTCTTGAATATTTGAACCTTTTACTTTGAAGTTTGTTTGAAGCTGTACAAAATTCTCACTCTGTTTAATAATTAATGGACTTCATTCGGTTTTATTGTGAACATCTAGATATTTGTTATTTTATCGTAATGGATGAGAATCCACAAGAGTAATCTTAATGTAGATAAATCTTGAGATAAAAAAATCAGAGTACCCATGTATTTATTGGTAGTCACGAAAATCAAATGAATATTCTTTTAAAATTGAAGTATTTTACACTTATTTAAATTTGTGCAATCCAAATTAAAATTAATTTATTATTGTTTCAGAAATGGCTGTTCACGTGACAGAGAAGACCATAAAAATCTACAGAAAAGTTACTTGACGGACGCAGTTCTGACTGTGACCCGGACAGTCCATAAATCTTCAATCAGTATTCTCTATTTCCAAAAATAAAATTGTTTCATACTAGTCGAAAATGTACCTTACTCTTGCCTTTTTATTACCAGTAGCAGATAGTAGTAGATAATATTAATTAATTAATTGAAATCAAGTTGTGTGTTCGATAACAAACGAAGTATAAAGAATAAGAAAAAAGATATGACGAACGCTGAATTAATAAGTGGACATGTACCGGACGATCTTGGCCGTGATAGTGACCGTGCATCCGGTGATGGTGCCGGTCAACTAGACAAACTATTGAACAATGGATCAGTTCCGATGGTTTTGCCGGTGCCTTCCATAGACGGGCGCAGGCGCTCCAGTTCTAGCCTCCTAGAATCCATTCATAAAGGCATCCGGATGTCCATCGCCGGATCTAAAGGAGACTCCAACAATGGACACGTCTTCAGTAGGTAAGCATCATAAAAAAAAAGACTGTCATCCGCCATGACGAACGTCATCACGATTGTCTACTAAATGCATTTTTGTTGACTAACGCAATCTTTTATTGCAATGTTTGCAACTTTTACGAGGAAGATGCCCAACTATCACAAATAGATTCTTGTTGATTTGTTT